CACACACACACACACACACACACACACACACACACACCTGTGCACATGCACGGGGGGGGGGGTAATTTAGTTCCATTCATTTTTATTTTGTTTCATTTTTGGCACCATGGTGTTGGGAGGTCCTCACAGGTGGTTCTCTACCATGTGTCTGATACAAAACACCCCATATATTAAAATAACAGCCAATTGACAGCTCTCCCCTTCATCCTTGAAGCTGTTTATACAATAGGCAAATACTAAATGTTGATGTGATTATTGATTCTTCTAAATTCTAATGATATTTCCAGAAATGATGGCTCTGATGAAAGTGTCTTTTTCTTTGCAGGGAACAGTCTAATCTCTATCTTCAAAATGGCCCAGATCATATTGGAAGAACATACAAGAAGGCCCTTTATGTTCAGTATACAGATGGCACCTTTAGGATGACTATAGACAAACCAGTGTGGCTAGGGTTTTTAGGCCCTATCATCAAAGCAGAAGTGGGAGATAAAGTATATGTTCACTTAAAGAACTTTGCCTCTAGGCCCTATACTTTTCATTCACATGGGGTAACTTACTACAAGGAGCATGAGGGTAAGTTCAGTGTATATTGTGGTTGCAATTTCATCTTCAGTAGGAAAGCCTTTTAACTTCTAAATTGATGCCTTTAGATAGAACCTGTAACCACATCCTTTAACACCTATCTATTTTATAATGGAATTTGAACTCATCACAATAAGTGCTTTGTTTCTTCAAGTTATGTGACTTCCTGTAGTGGGAATGCCATACATCCCTAAATGGACTAGGTGCTGATAGTGAGAGCCACAGCTGGACCATGAGTACTTAATTCCTTATCTAATAGAGGAAGAATATGAGAAGTGGATAATGTGCCTGACAGCTTAGAAGAGGCATGAAGCCAGAGGGAAGAGAAGGATTCAGAGTGGAGGCTCTCTTATCTCTGGAAATCTTCCAGTGATCATATTGTAGCTGCTATCACCTTCCATCCTGACTTCTCATAAACTCCAGCCCAGCTAAGGTGGCCTGAATAATCTCATACACCAGCCACACATCTTGAGGACTTGTGTTCAGTCCCTGAAACTCACATGGTGAAAGGAGAACAATGATTCCCCTAAGTTGTCAACTTACCTCCACACATGCACCACAACATGTACTTGCATACAAACATGCAAACACATACACATGGTAAATGAATAAATGTAAAATAAATTTAAAGGAGGTAATTTTTTAGAAAGTAAATTTTTTATGTTGTGTGTCTTTACTGAAGAGACATGGACTTCTGAGTATCTACCACAGATAAGGCACTAAAGAAATGATGCTACATAAGCCTTGAATGATGAACCAGTGAGTTGAATTGGGTTTACTTGCAGGAGCATGGCAACACACAGGCAGTGATACTAAAGAAGAGTATCATGTATATCCTAGAGGAAGGCAGGGCTACCATGGAGCATTCTTCCTGAGGCACCTCATAAGCCTTCACTCTCTCGACCCAATTTTGTGAGAGTCTCCTATGGGTAACCACAGCTGCTCTGATTGCAAAACTATAATGGCCATGTCATGATCAGAGGACAGAGTTCCACGTTACACCATCTCTTTTCTCTTTTTCTTAGCCAAGTTCTACTAATAATATAACAATTAGCTATCATGCTTTTTCTTTTTTTACATCACCATGGTATAATACGGTTAATATTAACTTTCAAGAGACAACAGTAGGCTTGTGATTTTGTTAAAAGGAAAAGTTCTTATTTTTTAAAGATACATGCTCAGATATTTATAAATTAAATATGCCCAGGCTTTGCTTTAAAATAATTTCATATGTCTGAAGACAAAATTGAGTGGGATTATGAAAAAAATAGCTTTCAGTTTACCATTGTTAATGCTGCATTAATAGGTACTCTGGAAATCTACTAACACTTAGAGGAAGATAGAAGTTCATTTCAACTTGTGCATGTTTGAAAATTTTTTAAATTAAATGTAGATATTTTTTAGTTCTGTAATTACTACACATACACACACAAATCAGATATTATATAAGAAGTTTTAAATTATTTGAGAGGGTGGTTATTTTGCTTATTCTTTAAACCATGACCCCCAGGTGAAAGCTTTCCCTTACATTAAAATAATTACAACCATCCTGAAATATCTATACTCAATCAATTACCAAACTAATAATAATCATTTCTGTGAGGCTTATGGACTCCCTAGACATTAGCTTTGTGTTTGTTTTTCTGTGTGTTCAAATGAATGTCCAGAGGGCACATGTTGAGATGATGAGGACTGATTATTCCTTCAACTATATTCATATGTACTCACTTTCTAACTCTATTACATGCTGTTTTCCAGGGGCTATCTATCCTGACAACACCACTGATTTTCAAAAAGCAGATGATAAAGTGTTTCCTGGAGAGCAATATTTGTATGTGCTGCATGCCAGTGAGCAAAGTCCTGGTGAAGGAGACAGCAATTGTGTGACCAGGATTTACCATTCCCATGTTGATGCGCCCAAAGATATTGCATCAGGACTCATAGGACCTTTAATACTCTGTAAAAAAGGTATATTTTCTCATTGCTCACAATATGGGAGACAGGTACAAAGCAGTTTGTTTTCTTTTTTTTCAATTAGTTTTTTAAACTATAAGTTATTCTGTAATTCAGTTGAATAGATAAAAATGGTAAGAGTAAAAAGAAGGAAGTAAGGTACAGGAAAGGCCTTGATGGCGTGAAAAAATGGAACACACCTTTAGAGGAAAATGCCAATGAAGCTAAGATGCTTGAAATCAGTCTCTGTGGGATAGGTTTGCTGGGTGCAACTTCCAACAATGGTGTTATATGAAGATACATGACTTTACTATGTGTGACTCCCTCAGTGGCACTCCCTAGCAATGGCTATAGTTACCTGTATTATGTTAGTAGGTATGATAGTACATTTATTCCTCACCTTATGAAGACAGCATAACTCAAAAGATTGAAATGTAATGTTAATTGGACCAATAGTTACCTGCAAAGCCTTTTTGTGGTGTGTACTAGATGATATGGAAACACTTGAATTATAACTTTTTCAGTTACCAAAAAACATTTAATTGTTTTGTCAGTAGATATATGGATACATATGCATATGCAGTGCACAGGACATGAACAAAGTGGAGTAGCTGGTCCAGATCTGTGGTTTACTAAGAAGATGAACACTAAATTTAAAAAATATTCTAATCACCTAAAAAGATGTTGAATCACATAATAAAAATTCAGATCTACTAAATCATAAATTTCTACTTCAGGTTCTCTAGATAAGGAAAAAGAAAAAAATATTGACCAAGAATTTGTAGTAATGTTCTCTGTGGTGGATGAAAATCTCAGCTGGTATCTAGAAGATAACATCAACACCTTCTGCTCTGAACCAAAGAAAGTTGACAAAGACAATGAAGATTTTCAGGAGAGCAACAGGATGTACTGTAAGATTAAAAAGATATATCATTTTTGTTTTAATAATTATAAGATTATTCTCTCACATGAATAATCCTAACCTGAGGCCGTAATAACAAAAGCAATGGACACGCAATTTGATATTTGTCTGTTCTAGTTAGAGTTACTAATGCTGTGATAAAACACCAGGACTAAAGGCAAGATTTGAGAAGACAGGGTTTATTTTGCTTACACTTTCACATAATAGTCCACCACTGAAGAAAGTCAGGGCAGGATCTCAAACAGGAAAGGAACAAGGAGGCAGGAGCTGATGCAGATGCCATGGAGGGTGCTGCTTACTGATTTGCTCCTCATGGCTTCCTCAGCCAGCTTTCTTACAGTACTTGGGACCACCAGCTCAGAGGAGGTATCAACCACAATGGGCTGAGCCTTCCCACATTAATTGCAAACTAAGAAAATGACCTATAGGATTGCCTATGGCCCTAGCTTATGGAGGCAATATCTTAACTGAGGATCCCTCATCTCAGATAACTCTAGCTTGCACCAAGTTGACACAAAACTAGCCAGCACACTGTTTAAATACTAGGCAAGGTAAAAGGCAGAAACACCAAACATGTTCCTTAATTTATAAGAAAAATCATCAGTTGAAATTTAATGCACACATGTTATACATACATCTTTATTTATCCTCCAAGTTCATTCTAGAAGTTATTTGAAGGAGCCTATTAGGAATATTGAAGTACATGTTTAAAATTAGATTTACACTATAAATCACCCACCTATGTTTAATAAAATAACTCAGACTACTAATTCCAAAAATTATCCCTTTTATATACTACATTGTCCTCATCAGGTCCCCCATTATGTATTAATTAAATATTTTAGTTTACTTTGTGTCTCCTAGAAATGCCAAAATGCCTTCTTGAGAACCCAAGCTTTCCCTTAATTTCCAGGGACAAAAATAATGAAATTAAGTTATCTATCCCTCAGAATTTACATGGTAAATTAAGTACCTTAACATTAATTAGATCAAAAAGTATAGATTTGTTTTTCATTTAGCTTCTTTAAAATGATCTTCACTTGAAAACCAAGAAAATAATAACTGCACTTCTAAATTAGAAATTGAAATTATTTCCAGAATTCTATCTGAAAGGTTTTGTTTTGTTTTCATCTAACATGAGTATCTCCTTTCTACACATTTTACCTTCTCTCTGTTATCCTGCTAACAAAAACAGACATTTGAAAAATATCTCAAATTTCTAGTCTGGATGGACACAGTTTGGTAATACTGTCACATCTCCTATATTAATGGTCCTTAACATTAATGTTTCTACCCATGAATTTCCTAGGATGGCACAATTTGAACAATGACCCTCAGTTTCTTCCAAGGTTCTTGGGCCTGACTGCTTTTGAACTTTCAGATCTTCCTGGCTTTGGTCCCTGCTGCCCATTCCTGAATTTCTTTTTTCTTCAAATCTCTTTGAAGTGTGTCTTTCAATCTTAGAAACATTTCTACTTGATACTATTATTACAAAAGAAATTCATGTAAGTCCAAAAAGTCCTAAGCAAAAAGAATAAATTTAAATCATATGCCTTTTGCCTACAAGCTCAGTTAATAATTGATTATTAAATAACCTTCAATATTTTATCTTTAGCTGAGTACTCTCTATATATGTATATGGATACATTTATATTTATATACACACAATGTAAATAGTTTATAAACATCAGAAACCAAATAAGTTTTACTTTATTCATCTTCAGTATTGTATTAGCAATGAGCCTTAGCCAGAATGGAAGAGTTTGTGGTTGATTAGCAATGTCTGGCATAAATAAGGGGTTGGGTAAATGCAAGTGTGGCATATATTTTCTATACCAAATTGATTCTGTTTCTGTAGAGGTAATTTTCACTATTCCAAGCACCAATGTCTATAAGGCAATAACTCTGTCTTGCAGCTTTGAATGGATACACATTTGGAAGCCTTCCAGGACTCTCCATGTGTGCAGAAGACAGAGTGAAATGGTATCTTTTTGGTATGGGTAACGAAATTGATGTGCATGCAGCTTTCTTTCATGGTCAAGCACTGACCAGCAAGAACTACCGTACTGATACAATCAACCTGTTCCCTGCCACCTTATTTGATGCTTTTATGGTGGCCCAGAATCCTGGAGTCTGGATGCTCAGTTGCCAGAACCTAAACCACTTGAAAGGTAAGCATCTTCACCTTTAGTCATCTGTCAGTTGTAAAAACAGCTGTGTATTAGTTACTCTAGTAGGAGATGTTTGAAGAGAAGCAGAACCAAACAGCCAAATAAGTAATCTGAATATTGAATTATTACTTTAGTTCTATCTCCATATCCATGAAAACTAATCGAGCTAGCCTTTTGCTTTGAGGAGGTTGGCTGTTTTAAAATAATAGTCTTTAGGGAAATTACTGTTCAGGAGGTAAGTTTTTCAAAGTCTAATTTCCTTGGGAGATAAACTTTACAAATAGGTTTTAAGAACTAAAACTTTCTTATATCTTGTGTTACAGAGACAAAAATGACATTTGCAAGTTAAGACAAAGAACAAATACATCACAGATAAATAAAAAAGTTGGTTATACTTGACACAAGTCAAAAAAACAAGCTACTTTCCAGCATTATGTATAAATCTGTTTTTATAGTCCTCCATTTTTACATTGAGAAACTACAAGTGATACTGTATTTTCATGGCAGAAGTCATTGCTATATTTTAGAAATTAGTATTTTTTCAGATCTCACTGGATTATCAAGAGTAATCCCACAAAGCCTGGTATCTTACTTTGAAAACTCATATGCTCAATGTCTCTTTTCTGTCATGAATACATTAAAAGATACATGTCTGTTTAAAAACTTGAATTTTTCATCAGTAGTCTGTTCACAGCTGTTTACCATGTTTTATTGTATTATCTCTGTCATTGGATTCAATTTCCATCTGTCATCTCATCAGCAATTGTCACTGCTCATCAGAGCCTTTTCTGTGATGTTTCAGCCGGTTTGCAGGCCTTTTTCCAAGTTCGAAACTGTAACAAGCCTTCACCAGAGGCTGATACCCAAGAGAGACATGTGAGACACTATTACATTGCTGCTGAAGAGATCATCTGGGATTATGCTCCTTCTGGGACAGATGTCTTCACTGGAGACAATTTAACAGCCCTGGAAAGGTAGCTGCCCATTTCCTTTATGAGTAATGATATTAATGTCCATGCGGGGCTTACCGGCCATATATATATTTTCTTCAGGGAAATGCCTATCCATGTCCTTTGCCCAGTTTTGACTTGGGGAATTTGTTTCTGTTGGTAGTTTCTTTAGGAGTGCTTTATATAGCCTGAATATTAGTCCTTCACCAGATACTCAACAGAGCTTTTTCTGCTATTATGTAGTCAGTCTTTCACCTTCTGAATATGTCCTCTGATGCACACAGGTTACTCTTTGTATGTGTGTGGGTGACTTTCATAAGCTGATGCATTCTTCCTTTCTTGGCCTTCCTTTCCTGTCTGCAACTTTCCACAAAGCACAGAAGGTGATATTTTAAAAGTCACAGGCCACCATGGCAATGACTCAGTGGGGAACAAAGCTTGCTGCCAAGCCTGATAAACTGAGTTCCATCCTGAGGACTCATAAAGATGGAAAGAGACAACTGATTCTTGAAAGTTGTTCTCTGACCTTTACATACACACCACGGCATTTGTGGACAGACGGACACACACACACACACGTGTGTGTGTGTGTGTGTGTGTGTGTTAATTTTTTAACGTCTAAAAAATTATTCCACTAATCCACATCTACACATGTGACAACACTTTCACAGAATCTATGTCTGCGACTCATCTTTTAAAAAAATCCCCTTTTAGAATGTTTAAGAAATTTACTCTGTGTTACTCGGTGTTGGAGAGTTGGGCCTGGCTATGCCCAGGTTTGTGACTCCTAAAGCACAGACTTAAGTCCCAAGCTATACTAACATTCACATGACAACTCTCCAAACTGTATCTCCAGCCTACAAGAGACTTACAAATTTCAGATTTGTATTTTTGTTTTCTTAACAACACCTCCACTTGGATGAGGCATGTTCAACCTGAATTCACTGGATGAGGCATGTTCAACCTGAATTCACTGTCTCCTGTGCAAAACAGTTTCCTCTTCACTCAATGAACAGCTTCACCATCTGACCCAGAATCTGAGAACTGTCCTATCTCCCTCTCCTTCACCAACTCCTCCTACTCTCCTCATCAGGTACCGTTCTCTGAAAGCTGCTTTCTTCTCTTCATCTTCTTTGCTAATACTACTAAACTCCTCATTATCTTTCACTGAAATTATAAAAGCTGTTTCTATCTGGCCTTCCTACTATAGTATTTTATTTCCTAACTTTTCTCTAAGCAGCTATTGAAGGGATCCTCCTAAAACACTCATCCTGAAGTCTTAAATCCTTCATTATTGCCATGGAATGGAGTACCCAAACCTTAACCAAGTCCTCTTGCCCAATTCTACCTCTCCAGGCCTTATTCCTTACTCTTCTGCCCTAAATTCTCTGCTTTTACTGTGATCTCCAGACGCAGCTCTTCAAATGTGGACTGCTATTCCATATGGGACTGTACAAATGAGTGTGAGGATCACAAACATTTTGTCAACAGTAAAAGGTTTTGAATGCACAACAACCAAAAATTAATTTAAAATCTAGTATATTGTGAATATGAGGTGTTCTGGGCAGTGTTTTCCTGTATTCTACTACATGATTTCTCTGCAGCCTTGGGCCTGAATGCACAACATGCACACTTGCATTGTACATGCTACTATGCCACACAGTCATCTTACCTGCCTGAAACACCTTAGCTCAGATTCAAGGCTACATACAGTATGTTATGAATTACAGTGCTGTTATTGTATGTACAGAATTCTCTATTCTTATACAAACATCATGGCTTACTTACAGCAAACAAAAGCTAACTGTTTTTCTGTCACCCAGCAATCAAGGACAAACTGGCATATCTTTGGACTGTATTTGTTACAATGTTTGATTTTAAAAATTGTTGTTTGAGCTAGGTGGTGGTGGCACAGCATTTATTCCCAGTACTCGGGAGGCAGAGGCAGGCAGACCTCTGTGAGTTTGAGTTTGAGGACAGTCTCATCTACAAAGGGTGTTCCCGAGAAACCTCACCTCAAAAAATAAACAAAACAAAACAAGTTGCTACTTGAGTTGCTGACTTGACTTACACACACACACACACACACACACACACACACACACACACACGTTAAATGAGTTCTTGCTTGGGATTAAAGCAGAATGTCCAACAATTCCTGAAATGACCTTAAACATATTTGTACCATGTTGTACTATATACTTTCCACACTAACAATTATAAAACCAAAATATTAATCTGCTCTGAAAAATGTTGAAGATGCTATGTTCAGCCAATACTTCATTCTTTTTGTAAGGATAAACAAGCACATGCATGTCATAAGTATGCAAATTTGCTGTCATTTTAAATAAATGGCAAAATTATATACATCAAAAATTGTCTTAAAGTAAATTTATGGTTTCTTATTTGCAATATTCGATTTGTAAACCTATTTTATGTATCTCTGTACCCAGGGTCTTGTAAAAATGTCTCAGGCAAAAGGTAGCTTAGAGTGGGAAGGCTTAAGGAGCCTTGCTGTGGAGCATGACATACTCATGACATACTTACACTTGTTCCTTTGTACCCCCCACAGGTTGTTGCTTGTTTGCAGTCTTCTGGCCCATTCTCCCCACTATTCACACATCACATTTAGAACATCATTTCTAACAGCTTCTGTCGAGAGACCCAAGCTGCTTTTCTTAGGAGAAATGTACCACAACATACTTCTTGGACTGTATGCAATCAGCTTGTGTAATCGGAGCTTGGTCTCCTCTGATAGATGTGTGATCCATCTGGATGAGGAGTTCTGCTTTCTTGTCACTGTCTCACCAACATAGTACAAGGATCCTGGCAAAACTCTGGTGCTAACCCATTTATCAAAAAAAGAAAAGATAAATAGGGCAACTTTGTGAAAATCATATCACTTTCTGAAACTGAATTTCTTTGTAAATGGGAGAAAACTAGCAACTCCACTACATTATCATGTGACTTCTAGCAAGTAAAGGCAAGCACTAAGCTGATGCTCATACCCAACAAAGGACAGTTGCTGTACAATGGGGTAGAAAGAGTCTACTGTAGAACAGGGGTGACATAGCTATGCTGAAATTTGTCTTCACTTCACTTTAAAATGATTTTGTATTCCTTCATCAAACCTCAAGAGTGGCCTAGGTCTGTGTGCCTCTTCAGTAAAATTAGTGTGGACTGTAAATCAAGGGTGTAATGTAGCACTAAGCACTAGACAGACTCTTTTTCTTCAATTAAGATCCTATGTAAATAGCCACCTTGTTCTACCTCCAAACCAGAATTAACCCCTTTTTTCTTTCTGGCAGTGATTCAAGGGTATTTTTTGAACAAGGTGCTATGAGAATTGGTGGCTCTTATAAAAAAATGGTTTATCGTGAGTACACAGATGACTCCTTCATGAAACGAAAACAGAGAGGCCCTGATGAGGAACATCTTGGAATCCTTGGTGAGTCCAACCAGAGTACTCATGGTTGGAACGTTTTCTTCTTGATTCTCCTAACCTCAGGAAGAAAAGTGTCAGGACCTGCAGCATGAATTCTAGTTAGAAGCCAGGCAGACAGAAAATCAGGTGCCACTTGACACATAGCAGCTGGCTACTTTCCCAAAAACAAATTATCAGCCATAAATCTTCACTACATCGTGAAGAGATAAAGGAAACTGTGTGACAGTTTAAATAACTGACTTATCCAAAAGTGTACTTTCTCAAAAACCAAATGTGGGCTTACTGATGACCCAGGCTGTATCTATTCTAGAGGCTGCTCCCAGTGAGCTCTGAGTTCTCTCATAAAAAACACAGTCTAGACTCATGAGACAGTCTTCCTCTTTATCTATAAGCTGGGTGACTTTTGAAAGTGACTTAATTTTCTGGGCCTGCTTTTTTCTATAAAGTGGAGATGAAAATGATTATAAATACATCAAACTTTAGTAAGGGTTAGATAAGATATTAGACATAAATAAACACTTAGAAGTAGGGATAAGATGCCCTCAATAAATGTCATCATGGATATTACATAAAACATTTGTATACTATATAGCTATATCTTTACTCTATAATTGGCCACAATACTAATTTTAAAGTTTTACATTCTAAAAAACTCATACCCAAAACAATGCTGAGGACGAAAGTCACACAGCCCAGACTAGGTTAAAGAATGTATAGATGCTCCAGATGTTTTTTTTGTAGATGTGTAGACACTCTGGATTAATTTTTTTGTGATGTACAAAATTTACTGACTTGAAGAAAGATAATAAACAAATTAATTTCCCTCCAGTTGTAGTAAAAAGAATTCTTGAATTTCTCCAAATTTGCCACATTGTAGCAATAATGGACTTTTTAAATACCAAGCTTTCCAACTTGCTACACATATGTAGTTTGATCCTGGGATGCTTGTCAGGGGACACAGCTAAAGCCAGTAACTGTTTTTGTACATTCTGTATGTCACACAACAACAACAAAAAAAGTTAACAAATGCTCTTTTTGTTCCTAGGTCCTGTCATTTGGGCAGAAGTAGGAGACATCATTAAAGTCACCTTTCATAACAAAGGACCATATCCTCTCAGCATTCAGCCAACGGGGGTGAGATTCACTGTTGAAAATGAGGGAACATATTATGCTCCACCTGCCCACTCCCTGAAGGGAGGTGAGTAGAAAATTCAGTCCTGAGAAAGCTGAATGTCAATAGAATCTTGCTTTGCCTTAATTGGATAACTACTGACAATTCAATAAATATTTAGTTGGGCTGTATCAATTTTACATTTCTGAAATACTATTGGATGGGTCTCTTTTTTAAGTTCCTGAAATGTTTAGCTTAGAGGCTCATTTTTTTGATATTTGAAAAGTACAGAAAACCATAACCAAAAATATTAGTAATCTATAATTCCATAGACAAACACACACACATATGAATATGTAATCCTCCTGCTTTTATCTGTGTATATATACCATACTTTAAAATTATGGTTGAGTTCATAGTATAATAAATATACTGGCATTATAGTTTTGTGATGTTTGCACTCTTAACATTATAAGCACTTACTAATATGATTTTAGTGATATAAAATATTCAATAATGTGGATATATTCTAATATTTTTTGTTGAGGATTACCAATGAAATCTCCTGATTTTGCCACTAATTACAATTTGACTATAGGCAGCTTATTGAAATTTTCTGGCTTTAGTTTCAAGTGAAAAATCTAGATAATTTGCAAGGTATCACAGGCTAAGTTCCTTTCAATTCTGCAATTACCTTCTGATCAGTTTGGTCAACAGAAAATGGACTGATTACCTCCTACTGCCAGGCAGTGTTCTAGCTGGTAGGAGAGAGGAGACGATATTTGCCTTCAACATTAGTCCTTCTCTGGGGAAAATGCACATATTCGCTCTTTGAGCACAAAAAGGGGTATCAACCCTAAATAGCGGTTTGGGGCAGGGTTGGGAGCTTCCTAAGTTTATCACACCAGAGAGAGCGGTGACGGCTGAGTGTCCTGGGCTGCCGTGCTGGTTCCCTGCTGCTGCTGCTGCTGCTGCTGCTGCTGCTGCTGCTGCTGCTGCTGCTGCTGCTGCTGCTGCTGCTGCAGATACTCCCCGTGGCCGCCACCGCCGCCGCCGCCGCTGCCGTCCACATGAACAGCCTGGACATGAGTGGGAGCGATGAAGGGCGAGGGTCGAGGGAAAGAGAGCGGGAGATCCTAGCTGGATCAAGAAAAGAGAGGGAGAACAAGGAGTGGGCGACCATGGTAAATGAAGACCACATGAGAAAAGAAAGAAACAAAGAGCTAAAGAGGCCCACAGAAATCCACAAAATACCCCCACAAAAGACTGCTGGTAATGGTCGAGAGACAGCTGGGACTGACCTACTCTGGTGATGGGATGGACAAACACCCTAATAGTTGTGCCATAAACCCCATCCAAGGTCTGAGGAATCTGGATGCAGACATCCACGGCTAGGCCCCGGGTGGAGCGCTGGGAGTCTAATTAGTGAGAAAGAGGAGGGTTTATATGAGCGAGAATTGTTGAAACCAAGGTTGGATAAAGCACAGGGACAAATAACCAAATGAATGG